TATGAACATGTTGCAATCTATGGTGCACTTCTATCCTTTTTCTTTGGCTCCATACCTGAAATTTGTACCAGAGCTGCATTAGCCAGTTAACAGTGTGTTACTAATGCACAGGGTGGATAAAAATCAATGATTTAAAAAAAAAAAAAAAAAAAAAAAAAAATCGGATGTTTTTGATTTAAATCAGATTTTTTTTTATTTAAATCGGATTTTTTAAATAAAATGCTTTTTGAGGAAAATATATTACCATCCAAAGGTTATTCCATCATGAAATAAAGATTAGTTTTTTAATTATGTAGAATAAGGCTGTATATGTTTAATTTTTTTGGTAAATAAATCCCATGAATCCATTCACAATGTCATGCTCTTCCAGAGGTTTTTGTAAGATTATTGGGCAGTTTCTCTGCCTACAAGATATTATCACAGATGCTCGGTTTACTTTTGCAGTTCTCAAAACTGAATTTGACTCAGCGGAGATCACATGCCTCTTCTTCACAGCAAAAATGTTATAACATGAACAGAGTTAAGAAAAAGACCTTCATCCTAACTTCTACAAACCTATGAATACAGAATCAACCCCTTCAGTGCTAAGTTTCAAGAAGTTCAGTGAATAGAATAGAAACAATATTTTTCTGATTGTTTGGAGTGGAATAGATCTGCACAAGAAGAAAGTGAAACTAAGTGTGAGGAGGAAGGGGCTGACAGTGTAAGTTTCTTAAAATATATAGATTTTGTTTAGCCAAATTAGTTAACAAACATGGATGTTTAAGCAAATCACATATGCTGGAATGTTATTGTTTCAGATGAATAAATCTATTTAAATTGTTATTATTAAGGTAATGATTATTTTTCTCCTTCCTAAGTACAACAGAAAAGTTGTACAAATATGAATGATTAACCTCTTAAACTGGGGATAAAAAAACTAATATGAAAAGTTGTTGTTCTAAAAATCTTCATCTACTTGCATATTAAAGTTATACCAGCAAGAATTAGTCTTCATGTAGAAAACTAGGATTTAAATCAAGCCTTACTGACCAGTGATTTAAATCGTGATTTAAATCAGTTTTATTTAAATCAAATCCACCCTGGTAATGCAGGCCATAGACGGGTCGAAAACCGGCCGTTTTTAAAAAAAAACAAAAAAAATCAGTCATTCAATAGGCCGATGTTACCACCAATGGTAAAAAAAAAAAAATCGGCCAATTTTCATTCCGTCTACGGCCGGCATTTAATTACTTCTGTCCCTTTCAGAGAGCTCCATTATTATATTTGACATGAAAAAGTATTGCGGTTGCAACAATGTATCCATTTGTATCCCTTACCGATAGATGTTTTTATTCGGATACAAATAGATACTTTGTTGCAACCGCAATACTTTTTCATGTCAAACATAATAGCGGACTGGAATTCTTTTTCTTCTCCTTCTTTTTCTCTCTTCTTTTTTCTTCTTCTTGCAGGTCACGGCTTTTATCGGTAAAACAATCAGCCGATTTGCCCATCATTGCCAGGAAAATCAGCCGCTTTTTTTCCAGCTTTACCGATAAAAAAAATGTGCCAAAACCCCGAAAAACGTCCGACCAATTAACCCACTAACGGTGCAAAAATCGGCCGATTTTTTATATGGCCTGCATTAGGCTTCAACTGCAGTGAATTATAGACTAAAGGATTTGCCGCTCTTTGGGTCTCCTCCTCATGTATCCCCTCCTGGCAGCTCCACCTACTCTCCGTAACTCCCAATCTGGTAAGTGACTGCCTATTCTAACCAACTCTATCATTAACCCTGTCCAGCCTTGTATTCCCTGTCCCCCTTGTCATGTAGCTCTTCGGCTATTTTTTTCTTTTTGCTTTCTAAGAATTTTTGTCCAAATTTCGCACCATTAGTGGTCACAGAAACGGCCAATTTTCGAGTGACCATCAAATTTGAGTGATCGGGCATGTTGGAAAGTTTTTGAAAAACTAATTAATTTTGAATCAATGATGGGAGAATCGTGCGAGAAATATAGACAAAAAAGAAATGACCATGAGCTTTGACCTGGAAAGAAAAGAACATTCTTGGCCACGAAAATTATTTTCTGCAGCAACATGAGATGAAATTGAAGGCTTGGTTGGCTGAATTTCAAAATCAATGGTGCACCATCGGAAACGCACTAAATTTCTGATTTTCGTTTAAAGAAAATTTGTTTGGAATTTGACCCATGTATGGCCTGCATTACACACAACTGCTACAAGATAATTACCGTATTTTTCGCTCCATAAGACGCACCTGACCATAAGACGCACCTAGGTTTTAGAGGTGAAAAACAAGAAAAAAAATATTCTGAACCAATGGACTGCAGACACAGTACAGGGGATGACCAGAGACTGCGGACACAGTACAGGAGATGACCAGAGACTGCGGACACAGTACAGGAGATGACCAGAGACTGCGGACACAGTACAGGAGATGACCAGAGACTGCGGACACAGTACAGTAGATGACCAGAGACTGCAGAAATAGTGCAGGAGATGACCAGAGACTGCAGACACAGTACAGGAGATGACCAGAGACTGCGGACACAGTACAGGAGATGACCAGAGACTGCAGAAACAGTACAGGAGATGACCAGAGACTGCGGACACAGTACAGGAGATGACCAGAGACTGCAGAAACAGTGCAGGAGATGACCAGAGACTGCGGACACAGTGCAGGAGATGACCAGAGACTGCGGACATAGTACAGGAGATGACCAGAGACTGCGGACATAGTGCAGATGACCAGAGACTGCGGACACAGTACAGGGAATGACCAGAGACTGCGGACACAGTGCAGGGGATGACCAGAGACTGCGGACACAGTACAGGGGATGACCAGAGAGACTGCGGACACAGTGCAGGAGATGACCAGAGACTGTGGACACAGTACAGGGAATGACCAGAGACTGCGGACAGTGCAGGGAATGACCAGAGACTGCGGACACAGTGCAGGGAATGACCAGAGACTGCAGACAGTGCAGGGAATGACCAGAGACTGCGGACACAGTGCATTGAATGACCAGAGACTGCGGACAGTGCAGGGAATGACCAGAGACTGCAGACAGTACAGGGAATGTCCAGAGACTGCAGACAGTGCAGGGGATGACCAGAGACTGCTGACCTTTGGGAAGGGAGGGGGAGCGGTTACCTGAATTTGACAGGTACCCGCTCCCACTTCCGCGGAGTTGCCTTTCCTCTTCTTCCCGGGCCGGCTTCTGTGACAGCCGGGTGCCCACTGCGCAGGTGCGAGAAGCACTTCGCTTTGTGAATGGCCCGGCGCCTTCTGGGACCCTTCATGTGTCCCAGAAGACACCGGATCATTCACAAAGCGCAGCACATGCGCAGTGGGCACCCGGCTGTCACAGAAGCCAGCGCGGGAAGACTGTGCAGCGCTGGAGCGAGGAACAGGTAAGGCCCTGCAGGAGACAACAGCTGAGCGGGCGGCCCGGTATTCTGACATGGTGGTGCAAAAATACCGGACCGGCCGCTTTATATTCGCTCCATAAGACGCACTGACATTTTCCCCCCTTTTTGGGGGGGAAAAAAGTGCATCTTATGGTGCGAAAAATACGGTAACCCCTAACTAATGATGGAGCATAAAACAAATCTTAACGCCTGAACAAAATTTTGACATGTTTTAGTAAAACTGTACATATCATCGCAACGTCAATGTGTGTCAAGGTGACTAATTTTATTATGAAAAAAAAAAGCTGGCCCAAAATAGTAGAAAATAGCAAAAAAAAAGTAGAATTTTTTTCAAAGTTTGCTATATATTACTTGCAATTACCATAACTTACTACCAACGAACAACTCCAAATAGATTCACTGCTTCTGACGATCACAGCAATACCACATATATGTATATTTGTACCCCCAGTAGGGCCCAGAAACATTTTTTAGTGAACATTTTGCTATTTTTTTTAATCCTACCTAAAACACACTGACATTGACACTGATACTATTTTAAAAATGGCTTTTTTAATCCTACCTAAAATAAATTGACCCTCACCTTTAGCTCTGACCTCGACCTTTGACCCTGACCTTGATACTGACTATAACCCTGACCTGATCAAACCCTGATCTAGCTAATTTATCTTTACTTTTTAATTTTTTTATCTTTTATACTGCTACAGGGCGGCAGGGGTGTGCAAAAATTTGCGCTCCCGTGGTTTTCGCGGACTGGGGGGGCGAGTGTGTGCCCCCGCCGACCTGCGGGTGCCGTGATTTGATCCCCGAGGGATCAATCATCCAATTTAGGCCAGTGATGGTTGGCCTAAGTCGGATGATCGATCCCTGTCCTATCAGGAATCTTCCTGTACCTGTGTTTACAGTTACACAGGTACAGGAATGATGACATCTTCTCTCTTTGGGTACATTCCATCCGAGAGAGAGAAGAACCAACACATAGTGAGTTAAAAAACACACTTTAGAACACTTTAGAGCACATTTAACCCCTTGATCGCCCCCAGTAGTACAGTGTACAGATTTTTTGCTGATCACTGTATTAGTGTTGCCGGGGACTTCAGATAGCGTTAGTGTCAGTTAGCGCCCATCCCAGATAGCTTCAGATTGCCCGTCAGTACACCAGTAATCACATTTAACCCCTTGATTGCCAGGAACACGCTCACATACACAATAAACCTCCATTGCTAGTATAGTGTCTGAATAGATCAATAGCTTTGATCAGATCAGCACTATACCAGCGTTCACATTAGTATAGTGTCCCCAAAAATGCAGCATTAGCGGGATCAGCCCCGGAACCTGCATTTAGCCCCTACGCTTACCCCTCCTTTCTCCTGCAGCAAGTGCAGTGTCAGTAGGTCACTGTCACTTGATACATTGCACACAAAACCGCAGTGTTCGCAGAATCAGGCCTGATCTCTGTTAGCACTTGTCGGTAAATTTTTGTGTAGCGGTTCAAGCAGTCCCTGACAGCCAGGTGCTCTTTTTCCTGTGAATCACTCTATGTATCTATAAATTTAGTGGCCAAAATGTTCAACGAAAGGTACTCTAGTGAAGAGGCCTACAGGATTCTGAGCATGTCAGGTGAGAGCGAAGGGGAAGACTCCCTGACACAATCAGCCTCAGAATACAAACCTGTAGACAGTAGCGGCATCCTGACAGATAGCTCAGATGATGGAGAAGAGGTCTCTGTGAAGATCAGGCGTACCCGACCCCATTTCCAGGTTGCTGAGATGTTCCAAATGCATGATGACTCTCATATGCAGCAGAGTGCCAGTACAAGTGCTGCTCTACCTTTTGGTGAACTGGCGAGCACCAGCGGCCTAGTACATCCTGGTCTTTCACATACCAGCACTGCAGTATCACTTGGTGATGTAGCGAGTCCATAAGTGCAGTACAAGCTGGTGCGGTGATGAGCACAAGTAGTGTCCCGCAGCCACCAAGAATTCGCAGACAGGCCCGTAGAGCTCCCCGTATCCTTCCGGATGTGCTTGCAAATCCCGATTGCCAGCCCACAAATTCTGCAGCACTCGTACTTCCCCCATTCACTGCCCATCCCGGAATTCAGGTGGAAACAGCAAATTTAAATACTCCACTTGATTTTTTGGAGCTGTTTTTCACAGAAGATCTGTATGCATTGGTTGTGCATGAAAGTAATTTATATGCATAACAGTTTATCGCCACCAACCCAAATTCAAAGCTTGCCAGACCAATCTCATGGAAACCCATTACAGTTTCTGAATTTAAAGTTTTTTGGGCCTAACCCTCAATATGAGCATTACTAAAAAAAAATGAATTGCGGTTGTATTGGTCCACAGACCCGATTCATCCTATGCCCGTGTTCTCTGCTGCCATGGCCAGGCAAAGATATGAGAGTATAATGCGTTTTATGCATTTCAATGACAACACACTCTGTCACCCTTGGGTTGACTCTGAATTTGACCGGCTCCAAAAAATTTGGCCCCTCGTAAATCACCTTAACCAAAAATTTGCAGATGTCTATACTCCCCAGCAAAACATCTGTGTTGACGAGTCCCTCATTATTTTTCTGGTCGCCTTGCATTCAAACAATTTCTCCTAAGCAAGTATGCCAGATATGGGCTCAAGATGTATAAGACCTGTGAGAGGGCAGAAGCTATACATATAAGTTTCGGATTTATGAAGGAAAAGATAGTCACATGGAGCCCCCGGATGCCCAGACTACATGGTAAGCAGTGGCAAGATAGTTTGGGACTTGGTTTCATCCTTTTTCCATAGGGGGTACCACTTGTATGTGGACAATTTTTATTAAAGTGTGCCACTATTTAGACATTTGTACAATCTTGGAATTGGTGCATGTGGCACCGTGCGACCTAATCGACGGGGCTTCCCCCAACAGCTTGCAAATACCCGTCTTAGAAAGGGGGAAAAAGCCTGCTTGAGGAATGAGGAATTGCTTGCAGTGAAGTGGAAGGACAAACGGAATGTTTTCGTCCTGTCTTCCATTCACGCAGACACAACCATCCAAATTGCCATGGCAGCTGGTGTTGTTGAGAAGCCCCTCTGTGTCCACGACTATAGCCTTAACATGGGAGGGGTGGACTTCAACGACCAGATGATGAAGCCGTACTTAGTTTCCTGAAAACCCGGACACTGGTACAAAAAAGTGTATTTATTTCAATTGGCTCTATATAATGCTTTTGTGCTTTACAAAGCAACTGGAGGAAGTGGATCCAGGAACAGATTATCACAGCCCTTTTGTAGCCAGAAGACGCTGTGACCCAAACCCCCAACCCAGATGCAATTAGCCGGCTGCACACACTAGTGGAGTATTAATATAGGGCAGGGCTTAAAATTCAAGTCCTGAGCTACTAGCTAGGCCTTAAGAGTTACTCGCCACCAAAAAACACACAAACAGAGACACCTGTACACACACACACACAGACATGTAAATATACACATACACACACAGACACACATGTACACACACACAGGCACATACAGACATGCATACACACAGATACATGTACATACACAGAAAAACACACACAGACACATGTACAAGCACACACAGACACATGTACATACATACACAGACACATGTACATCATTGGTGTCAGTTTGGGGGGGAAATAGTGCCCCATCATTGGTGTCAGTGGGGGGGGGGGAATAGTGACCCATCATTGGCGTAAGTGGGGGGGGGGAATAGTGACCCATCATTGGTGTCAGTGGGGGGGAGGGGATAGTGACCCATCATTGGTGTCAGTAGGGGGGGGATAGTGTCCCATCATTGGTGTCGGGGGGGGGGGGCAACACTGCCCCATTGTTGGTGTCAGTGGGGGGAGGAATAGTGCCCCATCGTTGGTGTCAGTGGGGGGAGGAATAGTGCCCATCGTTGGTGTCAGTGGGCGGGAAATGGTGCCCCATCAATGTTGTTTGTGGGAGGAATAGTGCCCCATCATTGGTATCAGTGACACCAATGATGGGGCACTACTCCTCCCACTGACACCAATGATACTTACCTTGCTGACCCTTGTTCCAGCCTGGGCTCGCTCCCTCCCTCTCCTATCCACAGCCAGCATATCTGGCTACAGCCGGAGCACCATCTGCCCGGCACAGACACTTACCGGTCAGCTGTCTTCCTTCTCCGGCCGCTCTCCTCTTCACTTGTGCTCCCTCACTTCTTTGATCTTCGCGCTGCTTCTCCTCTCCAAGCTCCGCCTCCTCGACGGTGATTGGCCGTGTGTGCCTTTCCTGAGCTACAGTTCCGGCTTCCAATCATCAGCGAGGAGGCAGAGCTTGCAGAGGGAGGGACAAGCTGCCGTAGGCTGTTGAGTGATCCCGGGGGTGTGGCAAGATGACAGGGGTGGAACGTCATCCCACCCACACATCGCGATCCAGGGAAATGAAGACACCGGACCCACTGACAACCTCCCTACCCCTCCTCCAGCAGCTCCTCGTGGACTGGATCGACGTGGGACTGGGACACGGAGACCCAGGTAAGACACAGCAGCCCGCCCCTGTACTGAGTGCCCCTTTCGTGGGAAAGAGGGGGGGCGGCGTTGCCGCTGCGCCACCCCCCTAAAAAGTGCTGCCCTAGGCAAACGCGTTGTTTGCCTCGCGGCAAATACACCCCTGGGGGACACAATCGCCCCCACCATAATTTCCACTCGCCATTGGCGAGCAGGCGAGTGGAAATTTCAAGGCCTGATATAGGGTGCAGCATGGCACAGTTCAGGGCACATTTACACAAGGTTTCGAAAGATGTTAGGTAGTCAGGAAACTGACTATCGCATTTGGAGAGATCCTAAAATCTGTTTTAAAAAGTTTAAAGTTTAAAAAAAGTAAAATAAATAAATAAATAAAACGTACAAATCCCTCCAACAATAAAAAAAATGTAAAAACCAAAAATAGTTATAGTTTTTTTTGTTGTCGTTGTTGTTACTGTTACAATTTTACTGTTTTATTGTTACTGTTTTATTGTTAACCATTGCTGTTTTCTTTGCAGGAATGTCATTCAGCTGCAACACCGACCTGTTTATTCTGACAGCAACAGGAACTTGCTCTCAGAATATACATAAGTCAATGTGGGCAGCGCTGTTGGATAAGATTTTTCATCCGCAGTTAAAAAAGAGCACATATGCTGAAGTATGGGGGCCTGGGTGGCCAGCTGGTTGATGACCACAATGCTTCGGCATATATATTTTATAATATTCTTTGGCACATTTCATGTGTACCCACCATTAGAAGTGAGTGGATGCAGGGAGTTATATTCTAATGGTGGGCATACCACACACTTTTTCTAGCAGAGATTTCGTCTCTTTTTTTCATTCAGCCCACAGGCTGCATAAAAAAAAAAGAACATCGCATATGCACCCAACAAGGACCAGCAATGTAAGCTACAAACATTTCATCACTTCAGTTCCGCAGGATATAAACAACGCCATTTGTAAATTGGGAAAGCATCTGATCACACCGATCTTGGTGAGATTAGATAATGTAAGGGCAGAGGAGATATCTAGAGTCTGATAGAACCCAGATTTCTCAAAAAAGAATATATGACATTACCCATTGAAGTTATAGGGAAAATTTGCATACCCTGTGATGGCATTAAAAGTGATAAAAAAAAAAAAAGAAAGGGACAGTGTAAAGATAATTAAAAAAATTAAAAATAACAAAAAAAAAGCACCCTCACCCCCCTGCACGTGTGCGAACGAGCACCTGCGTGCGCGAGCATTGACCCTGTGCCAGTATGTAAACAGCAGTTGCACCATGCATGTGAGGTATCGCCGTGAACGTCAGATCAACTGCAGTAATTCTAGCACAAGACCTCCTCTGTAAATCTAAAATGTTAGCTTGTAAAGGCTTTTAAATCATTGCCTATGGATATTAAAAATGTATGCAGTTTGTTTCGCCATTGCACGGGGCATGCGCAGTGTTAGCCCCAGTTCACATATATGCGGCCGTGCAGGATGCATTTTGCACAGGCACAAGAGTCCATTCATTTGAATGGACTCACGTGCCCGTGACACGCAGGGAAGAAGTCCCTGCACTTCTGAAAATGCAGTCCACACGGGAACCTCGGTTGCCAGTATGGTTGCATTTTCCAGTGCGGGCGGCGTGTCATTAGAACTAATGGCACCCACCCGCGGGTCCGCATTTCTCTGTGCGGGTGGTGCGGCTGCATGAATTTTCGTGCGGATCCGCAGCAGAACCACCCGCACAGATGTGATCCTCACCTTAATGTATGTCATGTTTGGTATCTATTTACTATACCATCATACCATCATCTTTTATATTTTACCAAATAATTGGCCAATATACTGTGTTTTGGGCATTAAAAGTAAAAAAAGTGTATTTTTAAAAAAAACATTTGCATTTGAAAAATCGCTTTGCGAGTACTGTGACATAAAAAATTGCAGCACCCACCATTTCATTCACTAGGGTGCTTTTAAAAAATATATGTTTGGGGGTTCAAAGTAATTTCCTAGTCAAAAATACAGATTTTTGTCATGTGAACAAAAATTGTCAGGAAAAGCTTGGTCTTCGGGTGGTTAGAAGAGTGAGTGATGTGTGGCATAAACTTCTAATGCTGGGCATAAAATGCCCCCACCCCCCAAAATTACCCCTTTTTTGGAAAGTAGACACCCCAAACTATTTGCTGAGAGGCATGTTGAGTCAATAGAAGAATTTATTTTTGTACCACAAGTTTTTGGAAAATGACAAAAAAAAATATTTTTTTTTACACACAATTGTCAATTAAATGATTTATTGCTCACACATGCCATGGGTATATGTGGAATTACTCCCAAAATACATTCTGCTACTTCTACTGAGTATGGGGGTACCACATGTGAGAGACTTTTTGGCAGTCTAGCCAAGTACAGGACCCCAAAATCCAATAAGCACCTTCAGGCTTTTAAAGGGCTTTATTTCCTCATTACACTTCCTGACTACCAATCACAGTTTCAAAGGCCCTGAAATGCCAGGATAACACCAACCCCCCCCCCCCCCCCCGCAAAAAATTACCCCTTTTTGGAAAGTAGACACCCAAAGGAATTTGATAAGAAGCATGTTGAGTATTTTGCAGATCTTGTTTGTTGCCACAAGCTTTTGGAAAATTAAGAACAAGAAACATATATTGAAAAACTTTGTGAGAAAAAATTAGATCTGCAAAATACTCACCATGCCTCTTTTTAAATTCCTTGGGGTGTCTACTTTCCAAAAAGGGGTCATTTGGGGGA